TAACATCGTATAAGGAGAATAGATAATGAGAATGAGAAATATGAGCTCGTTAAATGGTAACAATATGTTATAAACACGATTTTAATTAATTGTTACTCCACAAAAACGCCCAGGTAAACTAGGAATATTCTAGAAGGTCCATTCTACAATTTTGTTACTATTATGAATCAGCACCGACCAACGAGTCTAACCTAGCCGTGGAGGGTTTTTTCAGACGGGAATTTAGCACAAATACATACTTGATAAAATAAAAATATAAGAATAGCTTTTATATGACCACTCACATGAATCTGAGGTGTACAGTATGTGATGACGATCCACATTACAAGTGAGGAACATTTGATACAACAACATTAAGTTGTATTCTGAGTAAAATAAAGCTTCCTTCCCTGCACTCCCAATACTTTTATATTCAGCTCCTATTTTGTTGTGATGGCAAAAGAGAACTTTTGATACAGGTTATTTCATACTCAAGAGGGGAATCTCCATAGCAACTTCAAGAACTTTGGGTGTTCTAATCAATCTAAAAGTCTACCTCCCCCCAACTATTGCTTAGTGGTCTTGCAAGGCGATATTTTCTCAAGCGCTAGCCGAGAAGGTACTGGAATGATCCCTATTTCGTTACTGAAGTAAGCATCCATACATTGCACCCATTGTTGGAAGGTAGCGCATTATAAACCAGAAAAAGTCAGAAGCAAATAAGTGGTCAAATGTTCAGCATTTTAGTCACCATTAATGCAATATATTTCTTTTGTCTTTTGAATTTGTTTGCATTTTCTGATACCCCATCAGTTTTTTTGTTCTATTGGTTCAGCCCTCATATGGCTGTACATTTTCTGATACCCCATCACGTTTTTATTCTATTGGTTCAGCCCTCATATGGCTGTGCATTTTCAGATACCCCATCAGGTTCTTATTCTATTGGTTCAGCCCTCATATTGCTGTCCATTTTCAGATACCCCATCACGTTTTTATTCTATTGGTTCAGCCCTCATATTGCTGGCCATTTTCTGATACTCCATCACGTTTTTTAGCCTTCGCAGACGAAGTCTACCGAGGCTTATAGATTGGCTTCCGTCCGTCCGTCCGTCCGTCCGTTCGTCTGTCTTTTACCTCTCTTGACTTTGATATGCTCTGTCCAATGTTTTTCCAAGTTGGTGCATATGTAATTCTCAGTGTCATACATATGCACGCCAAGTATTTTTTTGATTCGCCAAAGTTTCACTGTGTTTTTCTGTGATTTTCAACATTTTACTAGTAAAAATGCCGACATTTGCCGGAAAAATCCGAGTTCTAACGACATCTCGCAAGAGAACTGGCATAACGTATTGCGCATGCGCCAGTCTAATCGCTGAGGAAATCGTCGTCGTTTTCGTCTGAGGATATTGTATTCCGGGACTGTATCTTTCTTTGCACAAGCCTTATATAGATTAAATTCTATCTCAAAGGTATGAAACTGTGCTTATGGTATTTATTATGAACTTTGATTTATCCTTTTATGTCATGACTTTGGTGAGAAACTAGCGATCGCACAGTGTCACACTTTACCAGAAAAACAGTTCTGCTATTATTGTAAGAACTGGTTATGAAACGTGTAAATCGAAAGTTTATCTCGTCATTTAGGAGGCTTGGGAATAACGTTTGGCATATAAAATACTGGAATATTAAAAACGTAAAAGTTTAGGACAGGCTGATCGTGATTATGTTATACACGATTGCTATTTCCGGTGTTCATTGGCAACTGCTAGCAGATTGAAAGGAAGTGTGAAACTTGGTTTCGTGACGACATATTAGACTAGAATTATCGAGAAAACACAAGTCAAGTTCGGCCAACCGTGACTGCTTGAAAGCAATGATGAAATTGAGAAGTGCTGTAATTCAATATCAATGAATCTATCATCACTTTTAAATTACCTTTGAAGTAAATATGATACCCGGGTGCGTTACTACACTCGTGACCGATACCGGGACCTACCGGTGTTGAAATTTATTGGTAAATCGAACCTCTGTCAACAGAGACACATTTCCCCAATCAGCTATTTATTTCGGTACTGATTAAGTCAGAGTGGCAATTTCAATGTTTAGCTACCATAATTTATCTCCATTATGAGCAGGAAAATTAATTACGGACCCCGATTGAGATGGATTTAACGGCGGCCATGTTTTTATTGTTGACAATGTGCAGTATGCAAATTACCAGCACGCGCGGGAACCTATTAAGAGAGCTGTGAAACAATATTAGGGAGGGGGTCAAATTCACGTAATCCTCAATTTTAATGATGTTGACTCAATAGTCATAATTTTTTTTAACAATATTAACTAATATATTTTTGGCAATATATCCCGTTTTAATCATCTAAATTTGTTTCACTGTATACAGTAAATCTTTATTTAAAAAATACAACTACAATATGTTAATTAGTATGCAAATTAGCAGCCAATCGGAGACAATTTTCTGGAATGAACACTACAAGCCGTTCAAAGGAAATTTTACATACACTTAGGTTACATCACTACCTCTGCTGATTAGTTTGTTATGCACTTCTATCTGCATTTATATTAAATGTATTATATTTTGTATTTTGTATTTTTTTATTTCTTTTGATATCTTGGCATCCATTTGGTTCAGCTCAAGTGAAATTTTCTGCATATCCCTGGTCAGATTTTAATGACATTGAAAACACAAGTACTCTGGCTTTTTGCACATTCTTAATATTTTATTTTTGCAGAATCCCGTGAATATTAATTTTACAACTTTGTAGAGTGGAAACAGACTGGTGAATTAGTTCATCCTAGACTTTGGTAGAACATGTTTAAAATAGTACAGTGTGAACTGCAATTTCTTTCTGGCTGGTGTAAATTTATTTAGTTATATTTTTTCGTACTAAAAAGACTCAAATATCTTTTTTAATTAAATTTAACAGCCAATGGGAGCACATATGCTACAACCTCTGCTTACTTTGGACTAAATGTTTTTTTTTTCTTTTTTTGCAGGTGCAGAGCAAGAATTTTTTTCTCAGAAAGCAAAGCCACTGGAACTGCATGTATTACAAAAACATACCGGTACTATTCGCTACATGTCTGACAATTGTATAAAGTTTCGCAGGTCCTCAACCAAAGCATAAATATGTGTTTGTCTGTACATAAAATTTCACACGAATTTGTTAATAAAAACTTGATAATATTTTTCTGGATTTTTGCACTTTATTTGTATCATTATCGTATGAGAAGTACTCTTGTCCTTGCTGAGAATAATGCTGACCTGGATGGAGAGTGCTATAAACTTGAAAATGCCATAGAAATCACATTTGCCAATTTATGTCCATGCAACTTTAGAATGACTAGCGAAGGCTATGCCATTCATAACTTGTATTCTATTGGTTCAGCCCTCATATGGCTGTGCATTTTCTGATATCCCATCACGAGTGTATTCTATTGGTTCAGCCCTCATATGGCTGTGCATTTTCTGATATCCCATCACGAGTGTATTCTATTGGTTCAGCCCTCATATGGCTGTGCATTTTCAGATACCCCATCACGAGTGTATTCTATTGGTTCAGCCCTCATATTGCTGGCCATTTTCTGATACCCATCGCGTTTTTATTCCATTGGTTCAGCCATCAGATGGCCATGCATGTTCTTATACCCCATCACGAGTGTATTCTATTGGCCCAGCCCTCATATGGCTGTGCATTTTCTGATACCCCATCACGTTTTTATTCTACTGGCCCAGCCCTCATATGAGTGTGCGTTTTCTGATAACCCACCACGATTGCCTTCTGTTGGCTCAGCCCTTATAAGACTGTACGTTGTCTGATAACCCGTCACGATTGTCCTCTAATTATTTCCTGATACCCTCTCACGAGTGTATTCTATAGGTTCAGCCCTCATATTGCTGTCCAGTTTCTGATACCCCATCAGGTTTTTATTCTATTGGTTCAGCCCTCATATGGCTGTGCATTTTCAGATACCCCATCACGAGTGTATTCTATTGGTTCAGCCCTCATATTGCTGGCCATTTTCTGATACCCATCGCGTTTTTATTCCATTGGTTCAGCCATCAGATGGCCATGCATTTTCTTATACCCCATCACGAGTGTATTCTATTGGCCCAGCCCTCATATGGCTGTGCATTTTCTGATACCCCATCACGTTTTTATTCTACTGGCCCAGCCCTCATATAAGTGTGCGTTTTCTGATAACCCACCACGATTGCCTTCTGTTGGCTCAGCCCTTATAAGACTGTACGTTGTCTGATACCCCGTCACGATTGTCCTCTAATTATTTCCTGATACCCTCTCACGAGTGTATTCTATTGGTTCACCCCTCATATTGCTGTCCAGTTTCTGATACCCCATCAGGTTTTCATTCTATTGGTTCATCCCTCACACTAATGTACTCGCATGTAGAATACAACATATATTGGAATTCCTTTCTTAAATTCTTGAGAACTTTCTGATACACTATTTACATAACCTTATTGTGTGAATTCACCAGTGTGAGAATTGTTCAGGCATTACAACTAATCCTCTTATGCGCTTTTATGAGTGTATTTTTTTATATATGGTGCCGTTCTGTACAGGAATAAATTACTATAAAGATTGCATTTATTACTTTTCTTAAAAATATCCCCAATATTAGTATTATTATTTGTAGATGTATGACTTAAATTTTTAAAACCATGTTTGATGTTATAACCTGGACATACTTACAGCACACGTCACCCCACTTATAACAGTACACAACTTTCAGTATAGCAGTATACAATTCCTAGAATGTGTTGTATTCTCGGGGCGGTAGTATGTTTTACAGGAATATTGCTCACTTGCATGAAATATACAGGTGATTTTATGCAGAATGCAAATGACACCAGCATATAAAAGGCAAGTGGCTTGGTAGGTATACTACTGTGGTATAATTTCGGAATAATTCTTGAAATCATTACGATTCGTACACATACCAGGTTAATTACACAAAACTGTGAATTGTTACGCACATACTTATTGTGCAAATATTTTAATACAATTATTTTCCTTATCAGCCACTACAACCTTACCAAATGGTTTATCATTTGTGACACAGATGCCACGGGGAGTCATCAACCCATCAACATGACTATCAATACGACATACAAATTGACCATGGCAGTCATACTTCTGAACCCTATTATTACCATTTTCACTTACATACACATATCCATCTGTATCAGTAGCTACACCTAAAGGATAGTTTAGACCAGAATATCCAGAACTTCCAAACTTGAATAGAAATTTCCCATCACCAGTCAGCACTTGTATGCGATGGTTGCTTTGATCTACTACGATGACATTACCTTTACTATCTGTAGTAATTCCAAAGGGACTTTGAAAATGACAATCCCAAACACCCTCCGATCCGAATGACTTAATATATTGCCCATCTTGGCTGTAGACTCTTATACAGTGGGATCGTTGATCAACAACATACACTATTTCATTCACAGGGCTGATGCTAATACCAATAGGGTGTCCCAGTTGCGTATTGCCAAAACATCTAATTAGTTCAAAATTGTTATTACATACAACTACTTGTTTGTTGTTACTGTCTGTTATGAAATAATTACCATCCCGTGACTCTGCGGCAAACCGTGGATTAAATGGTTCCCTGAAACCAGTGAATTGAATCATTCGTTTATGTTGTCCATCCAAGGTCAGTAATTGAAGTCGATTATTTCCACCATCACAAACTAATACATTCCCATCACTGGTTATCAGGACACTGTCAGGTCTATTGTATTTGCCATAATTACCCATCAACCCCTTCTTAGGAATTACATTAATCTTAACAGGTGAACCCTGCACCGATTTGTTATTAACTAAAACTGTCATTTCATGCACCCCTTCTACATTAGCCTGATATGTAAGACTACAAGACCCGTCTTTATTTTCAGTCACTTTCACATCTTCTATCGTGTCGGAAGGAGTTTTCATTTTGACTTGGATTGACTGTTTTGAAGGCAGAAAGTTCACCACAGTTCCACCACTTGCCGCCAAGGTTACGGATAACTCCCTTCCAATTCTACCATACTTTGGAACATCTTTTATCTCGAAATTAAATTTATTGTGAAGTATCACTCCGAGGGTTTTGGTCTCACAGAAGTCACCAGATCTTTGAAACTCGATGTAGTCATCTTGAGTTGGATCTTGTTTGGTTTCTAGTTTTATCAATTTCTTAATCTGTGACGTCATCCCCTTCTTTGTAGACATCAGTTGTGTAGCATTCCCATAATTCATTAGGTTAGTGGCAAATTCACGTGCATGTTTCACATCATTTTCTGCAATTTCCAGTTCTTTCCTTTGCGCATGCAAATTCTGTTTTCTCTCACTGAATACCTTGTTCATTTCTTGCAGTAACTCTGCCCCGCTTTCACGAATTTTAGCAGTGATTTCCACCACCACCCTTTCAATGTGAGCATTTAGTTTATGTTCTTCTTCGCTAAAACGATTTTCTAGCAATTCTGTCACATGCTGTACTTTCTCTTTGCTCTCCTTTGCATCTTTTTCTTTCTCTGCTAGTATGTCTGCCATCTTGGTTAGATAAATGGTATATTGCTTGGTGGCGTCCTTCAGATATCGGTAATTGTGTTCGGGTAGTCGGTGATTTAACGCTGCACATTCTGAGCAAATTTGATTGTCACAGGTATCACAATAGAATTTAAGCTGGTTGCCATGGTGATTGCTGCATATGACAGGCGGCTGATCTTTTATGCCAGCAATATCAGTGGACTTTGTAGCTTCGTACGCTTGGAGTGTCATCACATCGTGGGATTTAGTAAACGGAAGTCGTTTATGTGGCAAAGTACAATTGTCACACAGCCCTACAGCACAATCAATACAATATGTGGTTACCGACCCTTGCTGACACCCTTCACATTTCTGAACGTCGTTTGTCTCTTTGTATCGTTTTTCAAGTAATACGACCAACTCGTTTACAAAAACGTTCGGCTGCACACTGCTGGCTCCTTCTGGAAGGTCATGAACTCGTCTACATACAGGACAAGGTATACCCTTACCTCCCGATTTCTGTAAAAGTTTGTCGATACAGTGCTCACAGAAACTGTGCAGACATGGTAGAATCTTAGCATTACGGTACCTCTCAGAACACACCGTACAGACGAGAAAGTTGTCATCGATTTCTTTACGTATTTTCAATTCTACCGAAGCCATGGCGGGACGTGTCACGATATATCAACTGACAAAAATGCACTGCGAGACTGTGCGTCACCAGCCTAGTCACGTGATACGTATACTGAGAATTAACTGATGACCATTTACTAGGAAAAGACATGCGCAGGTGCAACATTCACAGTTGATCATTGACCCAGCAAACGTGTGTCTGCACGTAATGTAGTACGGTACTCGTGAGTCACGTGTGCGCACAGTTAAGCGTATATAGCAGTGACTATATTTCTTGCTAAAAACAGTCAACGATTATTTTTTATTTATTAGTCATCAGTATGTGAACTTTTTTGGTTTACAGTCAATCTCTTTTTCGAGAAAAAAAAACGGTAAAAATACATGCATAGAATTTCAATTTAGCAGTAGTTTTCCACGCATTTCCTGATAAAAACCCACACAAATATTGTCAATTGTTTAAATAAGTAAAAATTAAGGAAAATGATATTATTTTTACTTTCGCATAGCGCTCTACTATAACACGGATCATTGATGTACATAAAAGGCCATGTCGTAAGTAACCTGTACGAGTCAGTGTCGTTGCTAGGGGCTACGGGTGGGGCTTTGGTTAGGGTTTGGGGTTTGCAAATCAAATAAAGCTTTAATATATAAACTATATATTCCAGATACACCACTAAATTTCACACACGGCATACCAATTTCTGACTGACAATAACGCACGTGTTTGACACTTCCATAAATGCAGATGCGGTGTAATTGAATAGTAATTGTTAATGGTAATTATAATTGGGTTATGATGGTGGATGATTGGACAGGGGCAAAAGGGTTGGAAGTGCTGGTGCCGGATTCTTGGCGTATACGCATTTGTGAATATGAATTTATTTTTAATTGGTTTACAATAATTAAAATTTATCTGATTTTTATAAAACGATACATTCATCAAACCTTAGATTTTAAACACGGAATTAAGTAAACAATGTGATCTCAAAACAGAATAAGTTGGATACACCATAATTTACTTCACGTTCTGTTATTATCCATTCTATTATTATACATCAGTCACCGTAACGCCATAAGTCACAGCGTGCCGTAATCATGCGGTATTTTACGGGGTATTATCATCCTACCATATAAGGAAATGCGAATTCCAAATATGGAACGATTACGCGCGTAAGCGTCCTCTAATAATAAAATCAAAAGTTTTAACATGGCTGCCACAATGGTTTGACCGGACTCCACACAAAGAAATTTGCTGATTCTGATAAACTTTTTTAGATTTCGGCATTCCCATGATGTTCCTTGGAAGGACAAGATGTATAATAATAAGGGTATTACTTAATAATAGGTCATTTAGATTCGAATAATTTTGCAGAAACTGTCAGAAAAATACAGTATTTTTACCAAGTCAAATCATATTCATTAAAGTTGGTGTTCACACGTGAGTTGTTGAACACACTACATAATTTTATTCGGCTTCTTTCAGTCATAGTTCAAGACAAATAATAGGCAAAAATATAGAGAATATAGCAAATTATTTTTTCCCTAATATTCTTGTGTGATCGGTAATTATGAAAATTATTGTTTGGGTGCATAGGAAATACATTTCCTTATGAATTATTCTAAATATAAATTTCTGAATTATCTGGTCAAAATAAGTGTTTTCGGGGGATTCCCCCAAAAGAAAGAATTTCACAATGTCGAAAACGGAAAGTCTGAGTGGCACAGTTCAACCTTACAACGATCACCACAAATGAATATTAACTCTAGGCGTCGTATTACAATAGTTAGCGAATGAACATTCAATTCCCCCAAATTACTAGGATTTAGAATGTAATTTATGATCACTGTAGCTGGCGCTAAAAATTCCTGTTACATGCCTCATCGCCAGACATAAGTTATATTTTTTCGTTACCATGGCGATATAGAAAGTAAGTCCAACTAACATAAAGGATTGCTTATATAACCAGATACAAAACAACAGCCACCATCAATGACACGAGGGGATCGCTATTGTGCAGCAATATATATATATATATATCAATAGTTGATGACACTCTCAGAATACACGGAGCACGTGGTCGGAAAATCATGTGTGATATTGTGTTATTAGTATCAATTACGAGTAAGAAGTAACTACTCAAGTTAAATACACTTGTCTGTCAAATCAAACATTAAAATAATTATGTGAGACAATTTTGTTTCGAACATGCCATCAACAACAACATGCCAGGTATTTGTCATAATCACCACATATTTTGTTTGCATTGCAATATATACTAATATTACGAGTGATCGATAAATTCCCGGCCTCACCATGAAACAAGTTGCGTAACTCCTATTATGGGGTATAACGTTATACTATAATTTCCTAAGTCTTAAGTCAGTCAATTAATGTATGTATTCATTAATGAGCACGTGGTGCCCATTTAAAATCAGCAGGTGAGAAGAAAATCACAAAATTTATCAGACAGAAGCTCGTGTTGTAATCAAGTATCTCTATAAAAATGAGATGACTCCCAAAGAAATCCAAGAAAACATGGTCTCGACACTTGGTGTAGACTCCTCTTCTTATTCCACTGTAAAAAAGTGGGTTGCTAACTTTAGGCGAGGCAAGGAGAGCACGAAAGATGGCCGAAGTTCTGGACGCCCAAAATTCACGTAAAAACCGGGTTGAGGCCATCCATCGCATGGTAATGAATGACAGACGTGTCACTATCCGACATATCGGGCATTCACTAGGCATCAGTTATGGCGCAGTTCAAAATGTTTTGTTGAACATCTTGGGGATGAGCAAGCTGTCTGCAAGGTGGGTGCCCCGAATGTTAAGGTAGAGATGCAGTTTACCTGACAGGTATTTTAATTAGTTAATTAGGAAACCACAAAACTATACATTTTCGGAAAGCTTATTGTATGAATTTTAAAATTTTGTAAGTATTTTTTTCATGAACACTGTAGTTTGAAATATGCACAAAAATGTGCTTTTTTGGTCAAAAGTGATATAAACAAAATTAGCTTCTAATTCATGCTTCTGTTTCCTGTCAAAATTGGTTTATGGGTACATCTGTTTACTATGAAAAAAGTGCCGTCTTGAAAACTGTCTACCAGTTGTCAATTTTGCAGGGCAGCAGCTCAAATTTCACTACTTCAAGTTTATGCATAAATTAACACCCAGGCTAGTTGTCTGTACGATTGCTGTAACACTGTTCAACCAAAAACAATGCCCCGACGGCGTTTTGAAGATAAACACATTGTCAATCATTTGTAGAAATTTCAAAACAAAAGGTCAAAGCGTCTAGAAGCTATTTTTTTAAAGTTCTGAGATGGGCACTAAAAAGAAGCTGAGATAATTGCTTATTTGCATAACAATTCACTCAGTAAGAAGTTTGCTAATGCTCATAATTAAAATGGCTGTAACAGTCCCAAATTTAAATGTATTATCGTTTTGTTAAAAATTAAATATAGTGCATATTATGGAGATCCCGTCATTTCCTTTTTACACCATGTTTCTTTTTTATTATTTATGTACAGCCTTGCTAAATCTTGCTAAGCATTCAAACGAGATAATGTTTGAACCTGTTATCTATATTTTAAAATCGTTTTTTGAGTATGTTCCACTATTCACAATTCTACAAAATTTTAACAGTCTATAGCCACGACTGTTTGGATAATAAAAAGCAAAAAAAAATCACTCCCAAGAGCCCACGAACCTGCATCTCTACCTTAACTCCACGTCAGAAGTTGAACAGGTTGGATGTTTCAAGGACGCTTTTGACCCATTTCCAGTCAAATCCTGGCAACTTCCTCAAGAGATTTTTAACCCAAGATGAGACATGGGTTGACCACTTTGATCCAGAATCAAAAGAGCAGAGCAAACAATGGACACATAAGGGTTCACAGCCGCCCAATAAGTTCAAGCGAGTGGCATCAGTCGGCCTCTGTGTTCTGGGACAGCAAGGAAGTCATCATGATTGACTACTTGTAAAATGGTCAAATAATCAATGGAGAGTAATATGCTTCAGAACTGTGATAGTTGAGAGCAGCAAATTAAAAGAAAGCTTCGAGCTGATGTGCTCATTGTTAAAATTGTTTTCATTAAATATCTATTCTATGAATATTCTTGTTCTTCTTTCTTGTCATCAATAAATGATATGATTTGTTTTCATTTATTCATGAGCTACCTATGTGCGGAAGTTTTATATTAAGGCTTTTATCACGGTATATTATTTTGAGAGGAAGAACCGGTCTTACCTTGTAGGACAAATGCTATATTACAATTAGTGAGTACTTCATATAAAAGCGGCATACCATTTTTTTTCAGGCAAACAAAATGTGAAAATACGCCTTATTTACTAACTACACTGTTTGCCATTGGCTGTATATAACCGAGACATTACCCCGCACCAGAAATAACGACTTTATCGGCTTCTCCAGAGGACCCTTTTTGTTTGTAATGAACTCAAAAGCGTATAACTCTCATTAAATATTTTTTGTATTACTTGCTTTCCTATTGAAGTACCCCTTCTCGGAAACCAATCTAAGACCAAAAAATTTCCTCAAACAATTGCGTGTTTAATAATAGAAAGCCATAAAACGAAATAAAACAATGCCAGAAACCTGCCCAACCTTCAGAAATTACGGTCTCCGTATTTAGTCGTACTTTTGGACAGACAATCCGTAAAAGATCTGGAATGTTAAATCACTTTATTCTAAACACATACGTTTTCAATCCGTGTCCTATAGAGGCCATTACTTAAAGATCATGAGTAATTAAGTGTCACAGGGTCATTTCTCGGTAACTCAACTTGAATTGTTGGAGTGGATATTTTGACAGTTTGTTAATTAAGTTTAATTATTTAATATATTCGACACTTTAATGGGTGTGACTAACCCATCTGAAAATGAAACCTTCCTGAATAAATTGGCGTAAAACAAAGGGATCACTTCTCCCTGCTGCCTTCCACAGTTAACATCTTGAGAAGTTTGTTGCCAGTTCCTGATACTTTGGGTTGGAAACCCCATGGCCAACTACATGTGCTTTTACCAGCTATAGTATCCTACATGGTGAAGTCTCTGTAGCCGTACGTGTGCTGCAACTTATTTGTCAAACCATCATCGAGACATTAAACTGTGTGATACAACGAACACCGTGTATGTAACTGGGTCAACTATAAAAGCTGAGTAGTCTATGACGTTGTTATTTCTACGTCGTTATACAGTTCGTCGTTACGGTGCATTGATTGATGTTAACAGTCTACAGGTGACAGTGTAAAACGTTATTTACTTTTATTTAGGAATTGTGTACTACTTACGTTGTTTAGGGCATTAACCATAGTTATTTGCATTTAAATGCTAATGTAATTATTGTTTTAACTATTTATTCTCAAATATTATGATTTGAAATTGCCCGGTATTAAATATTTTGTTGACCACATGAACTTGTGTCTTGAAGTGCGTGCAAGTTTGTTACAGGTGTGCGTGTTTTATCACAAAGTTCTGCCCTGGCATTACTGCATATGAATATATATCAATACCAATATAGCTATAAATTATTTATATTGTGCATTTTGGGGTTCAGAATCCAACCACAAGGTCGGTGACGGTACTTTATTTTGGCTGTTGTATTTCTGATATACATTTGGCGATTCTACCACACCATAGTACCTCCCCGTATAATTTACCTTGGGACATTAAAATGACGCATAACGCACGCTTTGACTTTTTGAGCGTTTTCAACTTCAGCTAAACAAATATCAATACGCGCCCGTTTAGTAATTCTGTGAATATCTCTTCTAAGTATCATATTAGTAGTGTTCACGCTACACGAAGTACGGGCTAAGATTTAAGCTGATTTAGGCTTGTCTCGCATATTTGCATTTCGGCTAGACCCAATTGCATCCATGCACTGGGCACTTAGCGCGGGCTAAGGGGCGCCATCAGTCGGTGACCTTTGTTAAGCCGCTGTTTACAAACAAATCCTTTTAAATTTAGCTTGCATATCCTGGTAAGCATTGTTCTGTTTCTCGGCGAGGAGTCCAACTGTTTCAAGATTTCGCTGCCTTTCCATATACTCAGTAAAGCTTTTGTCTCTTCGTCGCTCCAGCTTTTGCGAGGGAACGAAGTTTCGTACACACTGAGCTCGGTTGCCATTTTGGAATTTTACCTCTTAGCCCGTACTAAGGGGTTGTGCGTGAACGCAACTATAGTAAATTGTAGGTTGTTATCTGTTATAGTAGATAAACGATGTGGATCTATGGGTGACCAATCATGGCCCGATTTTAGATGCCAGAAAATAATTGATGTCGCATCGATCACATACACACTTTACTCCTTGAATCTTTGGGCCTTTCCATTATGGTTCCTGCGCCCTTCGCGATGAATTCAGACGCAGTCCGGAAGCAACACTATCTACATTTATGAACGCATACCTGCAAGTTGAGGTGCGGGAGTGGAGAATTGTTCGAGGTCGTTAAGTGTGATGGGGAGACTAGTACATTTTGCAAAATAAAAAAATAACATTTGAAACGAAAAAAATAGGGCAATTATTTTATATTGCATGCGCATTTTCCATTAAAAAAAACAAATAAAAAGATATGCTTTAGTTTATGGCTATGAAGATTAGTTTAATAAATTTGATTTGAAAGACCGATCTCGACTATTGTCGACGTTATGATTACAATAACCAATGTTTAATTATGTCTAGTTGAACACGGTGTCCCGGGGACATTCGTTTTCAAAGTAGACACAAAGGCAACATTGTAATGGTGTACATTAGCACTTCGATTTGCTTTTTTTTTTATTTTATCTTGACCATTGAAAGACTGGTCACCATTTATGTCAACAAAATGTAAATGTACTGCACCATTTCTCACATCCTCGAATTATAAGCAATTAAAGTCAACGAATCAATCAATAAGAAGCCTGGTAATAAATGACACAAAACAGAAGTCGTTGCCTGGCACAATATATAAGAAACATTTATAGGGAATATGTATTCCTATAAGATATTGTGAGTTGGAGTCAAGCATTATTGTTTATATTCCTATATGTTATTACAATTCTGTTTTTCAATCATAAGCATATTTGTTTGATATTTGTTGGTGTAATTGACAATGCACATGTTGCTGGTATGTTGAAGCACATTTTTGATTGAAGCAAAAATTTCAAAAAGATGCAATGTTGGAGACCCCCATTCCCACTTCTCAATGTTTCTTACTACAATGACAATCCTTCAGTTTGCCGATACCTAGATTTTTTTTATTTCAAATTGTTAAAATTATAGATAGTGTTCTATTAATCGTCAATCTGTTTACCAGCAATGTTCATTGTATTGGACGGAGGTATCCCTATTTTTTTTTATAATTACCGTATGTCATTGTTTCAGTCAAAACGAAATAAATGATACAGTACATATAACCTTGCAGTGTGGTCACGTTCGACTAATAACCAAACTCCGTGAAGTTACAAAATAATTTCCTTTTACCATCATCTCTCTCACTTGGCATCAATCGAGTATCATGTTCATTTCTATGATGGCAACAAAAAGGTTAAATATCAGCATGTTCAGCATAGAAGTTTTATAACGACATTATGTTGTCACCTTTGCACTTATTAGTTGACTGTCTGTATGATTTGATTGATTTCTTTTCTTATATTAATGTTGATTTGGATATATGTTATGTAATGTGAGAAAATAGTACAATCAGCATGACCATATGCATGACCAGACCACTGCTGATTCATTTCACAATCACCCGTCGTAATATTGTCCTTGACACATTGTAATATTTTCGGTTTCAGTTTATATGGATTGTGGTTCCGATTTTTGTCATTATGTGTGGTAAACGTAATACACACATCAGCCGACAGCCGTGTTTAGAGGACCAACTAGTTGAAGTTATGTTTTGGGAAAAGGCTATGTATGCTAAAATGTGTTAATCGTAATCTCGAAGAAACACTGAACATATCTTTATGTAGATAATATATACGTTGTTAAAGGTACCTTTACGGATTATGACAATCGCAGAAGTTTTTATACTAGATTTGATGGAAAATAGGGTGAAGGAAGTTTATAATTTTTTCCTCATTTCAATAATTGACAACCATATATTTTCATAGATTAATGCATATTTATATCATGTTTAATAGACTACTTCATTCTAATGATTCTTGTATCCAGTACAAGCATAATGACATTCCTATGATTGTTTAGACGATATAGTATCTTCATCTTCCCATTCTGCAGTTTCTGTGTAATAACAAATATTTAAATAGTAAAAGATTCTCCGTTAATTTGAACATTTTTCAAATAGAACACACCAAATATACGGTATGTATACGGTATTCTGTGACGTCACGTGGTAACCGAATTGTGCTACAAGTAGCTATCCGTGGTCTATTAAGAAAAAATATACTTGCATGTGATATATATGAATTGAAATTACACGTGTTACATGAGTTATTTGTATTTAATATGTCAAGTTGCAAAATAAAACCAATAATCATTTTGTTTGAATCCACATCCAAATCCACGCAGACTTCACTATGATTATGTCGTAGAATTGTCAAGGAATTTTCAGGAAAGATTTATTTGTGCCAAAATTGACTACTCATTGGGTTTTTGGAGAGATGTGTACCAAGGGAACAGATACTCTGAATGATTTTTCATTGATAAATCACAAGAATTGTCATGAAATAAACATTAGCGTTCATCCCTAACACTCAATTATATTTTTTGGAGTAAACTGAATCTGGTTGCCAAGAGAACAATGATTCTTCATTTATAGTTCATGAGCAAATTATTAATTATAGAAGAAATATTTTCTATATTTTCATTACCACTGAGATAACTAGCCTATATAATATTTCCAAGCCAGGCACACATACAGTCAGGCAATACATGAATTAATAATTTTCAAATGTTTTTCTTAGTCTAATTAATTAATTAATTATGTCATAAATATTTACATGCGTGTACTACTAAACCCATAGACACAATTGTAAATGATTTAAATTAAAGGTTATTTACATGGATCATTGCCACGAGTGTAATAACATAAGTCTTCATGATTCAAATATCACATTACATGTGAAACAGTATAAATTTTAAATACCTTGTGTTCTATGAATTTTTTTGTATTTTAGGTCAAATTATTTGAAATTGTTATGTACTTTATTATTTTACAGACGATACGGGAATTGAATATATTAATGATATACACGACGTTGATTCCAGCCTTGAGTGATACCAATTGACTTATCAAAGCGGTCAAATAGAAATGAACGATATTTGATCATTTTGCGACTAGTTTCAGAAAAACAAATCAATGGAGCTACATGTGACTATGTGCAGTTTTACTTGAATTAACTGAAAATTCTCTTATGGTTAGTCAGATTTCATCTGATTTATCTGGTGTCAATACGAATATTCTCTACTATCGAAAACATTTCCGAATTTAAAATGCCGGCTTGAAATCATTCACATGGAAGTAAACCGAACCGTACCGAATGTCTGGATTTTCTGTTGACAGTTGTTGAAGTTTTAAGACTATCGAGACTGAGACATTTCTACAGGCCTACTGTACGACCAGTTTTACTGAGACCTATCGGTGTATGTTTACCAAGAATACGAACTACTACTATACAGGAAGTCGTTGAAGTTGAAGACAATGCACATAGAAGTTCATATAATCGTTGCTCATGGACATGTATGTGAATTGCTACGGTAGTGTATTTTTCAAATATATTATTTTGTGTTCCCATACAAGGATCATATTTTGCATCATGTACGATAGATGTAGATAGAATTTACAAAATGATACAATGTTTCTTTTACTTACATTCATCTCTTTTCTCTTTCCCTACAATTTAAAAAAAAATATGTACCAAGTGTTAGATTGGATAGGTGGTGTATACTTTAAAACCAAACTCGCTATGTTCATTGGAATATTGAAAGGATGTATGTACCCTGCAGCTAGGGCCATATTATAGATCATTGTCATGAATCATCATAGCATAAACAGAGTATGTGTTTGTGAATCAATTGTCCTATTACAAATGTAATAATTACAGCGCCAGTTTTTAAAGTGAGTTATTGAACATGAGTTTGTTCTGATTCGTACACAATATTTTGTCATAGAAACAAATATACATTACAGCATACCGAATCTTCCATTTTATATATCCAGGTTTATTTAAATAAATCAAGAAAAAGCTACAATGCGACTTGTGCAAAATGTTGAGTGCTGGTGCTGAACGCATAAACAAATGAATGTATGCATAAATAAATAATGCACAATTGTTTTCATAAGATATGGGCATTCTATCGTTACAACAAGTCAACAAACAAAACTACATTAAATGCTGCATATTCTTATTCCGTTGGTACAGATATGTAGTATAGTATAGTGTGTTTATTCCGTATGCATATCATTAATGACATCGTGCACGTTGGATTTGGAATATACACAATGTTGTCATGTTAGAATATCGTGTGTTTTTTTTTAATTTACCTTGTGCTAGGTACTGACTTCCTTTCCAGATCGCTACAATTAAGAATATATGCACCAAGCGTTATATTCGATAGATAGTGTTAATTTGAACCAAATTCGTCATGCCCTTTAAACGACTACATGTATACATTTTGAGAGTTTAAATAAAGGAATCATTCCTTAAATGTGAAAGAAACATGTTGTATTTTGGCACGTCATATCTCGGGTTGGGTCAAATGAGGACAACATTATTTCTACTGGTGACTCTCATTAACATGATAGGTCGTTTCCCTGTTTATTGTTTGTCAATTGGAAAATTATTTTGTATTATTCATACAATTTAACGGTTCTATTGTTGACAATGAGCATCATAACGTAATTACAATTTGTCTACATGATACAAATGTCATAATACACTTAAAAAAGTGCTGGTCATGCGACAAACTCGATATACCTACAACTACATTGAAGTCTACATATCCTATATAGTGTGTTTGTTTGTCAATACAAATATCATAAATGACATCGTGTATGATGGATTCGGATAGAATATCCAGAATGATGTTAGATTACATTATTGTTTCTTAAATTTACCTTTTGGGGATAACCTATTTCATCCATATCATCTACAAATAAAACAAATTGCATCATGTGTTTGATGTGATACTCGTACTGTTTATCTTAACAAGATTCGCTATGCTCCTTATTGGATTGAAGGATTTTAAGTATCTTGCTCGTAATTTGATATGATAAATCATTTTCATAAATAACAATAGTGTGCCTTCATGATTCAAATCGCAGTGCATCATAAGACCCAATATACTTTAAGGTCACGCCGTGGTAAAATTGTAATTACACCTATAAGGTATATAAATTAACTTTATGGACAGGGTACGGCTTTTGGTGCCCTCTGTCTTACGTCTTCCGGCACACTACCTCGGACCGCAAAAGCCATAACCCGTCAATAAAGACAGAACTAACGCATATAACTTTGCGCCGAACTATATACTAATATATAATTATAGTATTTTCAAATGATATGTTCCTACAATACAGAGAACATAGTCTCATTCGATGTCTTAAGATATCTGTTATCAATTGAAGGCAATGTACGTTAAAGT